ACATCTGTTGTTTCCTGACTTGTTAATTTTAGCCATTCTGACTGGTGTGAGGTGGTATCTCATTGAGGTTTTGATTTGGATTTCCTGATGCCGAGTGAAGTTGAGCACTTTTTCGTGTGTCTGTTGGCCATTTGGAAGTCTTCTTTGCAGAAATGTCTGTTCATGTCTTCTGCCTATTTCTTGATTGGATTGTTTGTTCTTTGGGCATTGACTTTGATAAGTTCTTTATAGATTTTGGATACTAACCCTTTATCTGATATGTCATTTGCAAATATCTTCTCCCATTCTGTCGGTTGTCTTTTGGTTTTGTTGACTGTTTGCTTTGCTGTGCAAAAGCTTTTTATCCTGATGAAGTCCCAGTAGTTCATTTTTGCCCTTGCTTCCCTTGCCTTTGGCGATGTTTCTGTGAAGAAGTTGCTGCCGCTGAGGTCGAAGAGGTTGCTGTTGTGTTCTCCTTTAGGATTTTGATGGACTCCTGTCTCACATTTAGGTTGAAAGAACTTTGTTGTTTTTCAAAATTGTCTTGGCTATTTTAGATCCTTTAATTTCCATAGATTCAGCTTGTCAGTTTCTTAAAAACAAAAACAAAAAAACAAAAAACCCAAACATTCTGGGGGTTGATTTGGTTTCATTGCATTTATAGATCAATTTGGGGAGAATTGGCATCTTAACAATAATGAATAATTTGATCCATAAACTGGATGTATTCTCCATTTATTTAGGTCTTCTTTAATTTCTATTAGCAATGTTCTGTAGTGTACAACATAAAGATCTTATAAATCTTTCCTCAGATTCATTCCTAACTATTTGATATTTTAATGCTACTCTAAACAGTGTTGTTAAAACTTTCAATTTCTGGTTGTCCATTGTGAATATATAGAAATACACTTGATTTTTTACATACAGATCTTATGCCCTATCTTATTTGTTTACCTTGTTCACACTCAGCAGCTTTTGTGGTAGATTCCATCAGATTTTCTAGGTAAATGGTATGTAATCTATGAATAAAGACAGCTTTACTTCTCTCTGGCGTGAATGATCACTTTATTTTTCTCTCCTTATTGCACTGGTTAGAACAAGAAAAGGGAGAGCAGACATCCTCGTCTATAATTTCTCTCTCAACAAGAAGTATGATGTTGGTGGCATGCTGTTCATAGAAGCCCTTTATTGAATTTTGCACATGTTCCTGGTTGGCTAAGAGTTGCTTTAATTAGGAATGGAATGTTGGATTTCATCAGATGTTTTTCCGTATCTTTTGAAATGACCATGGCTTTTTTTTTTTTAGAACATCAATGTGGTGAATTACATTGATTTTCAAGTATTAAAATACACTTGTACTCTGGGGATAAACCTCATTTATTTATGATGTATTTTCATTTTTGAATCTTGTTGAATTCATTTTGCTAAATTTTGTTTATTATTTTTGCATCCGTACTCATAAAAGATACTGGTTTGTGGTTTTCTCTTAATGTGTTTGATTTTTGTAATCAGGCCAGTGCTGGTCTCATAGAATGAGTTGGGAAAGCTTCCCTCCCTTTCACTTTCCTGGAAGTTTGTGATGAGTTGGTGTGAACCACTACCATCTACCTAAGTTACTGTAGTGACCCCCTACCCGATCTCTTGGCATCTTGACAGGTTGGGAATGGAAAGAGCTACATGGTGATAATTTTCTTTACTGAGCTCTGAATAAAATATTTTTAAACCATAAAAGTTGTTTAGGGTTGTGGCCCTGGATTTAGTGAGAAGACTTGCCTAGTTACATCAGGGTCCACTTCAATGCCAGGAAGGCTGTCCGAGGTAGCGCCTCATTGGGAGGCTTCCCGTCTTCATCCACCTGTGAAGTGGCAACATTTGCTGCCTCACCTGTAGAGCTGGATAAAGTCAAGAGATGTGCTTAAAAAAGGTTACCATGAGTGAAGATGTTACTCTTCTCCTACACATTTCCTCCTAAGCATAGAATATTTAATTTACATGGATTATTTAATTTACTTGGGTAATTTAACATAATCCTCACATTAATCCAATAAGGAAATGAAGGCTCCAAGTAAGTTGTCTCAGCTAGACAGCCAGTAAGTGGGTCGCAAGACCCCGTAACTCAGGCAGGTGTTCAGACAGGGGTCATGTCTCCCCTGCAGAGAGGCCTTACCTTACCCCCTGTCTAACTCAGTTCCTGTCACATCTCCCTGTCAGTTTCTCCCTGTATTACTTCCTGAGATCGTCTTTACCTCCTGTCTTCCCCCACCAGCATGCACGTTTGTCTGCCTTGCTCCTGCTCTGTCCCCCTGTGCTCAGGTCTGTTGGTATATAGTAGGCTATCGGGGGATAGCTGCACACTCAATTTCACTGGCTATTAACATAATTTATTTGAATACTAAACATAGGGCACAAAGTTCCATACTTTGCGAAGAGAAAAAGGACGTTTAAAGATGTCTGGGCCCCTGGGACCTGCAGCCCCTGACCTCCTAGGGTGCCCCTTGCCATTCACTGATCCAGGCAGGACACATTCGAGAAGAACCAGCCCATGTGGAAGCACTTAGCTTAGAAATTTGCAGGTGATGTGATTTGAATTCAGGTAAAGGTGTAAGCTCTTGGAAAAGACAAACCCACCGGACCTTCCTGGGCCCTGATGACATGATAGGGTTCAGGCAAGCACTTGGGCCCTTGGCTCTTGCCATATCTTTTAATTAATAACAGCAATTAACTACTTAAACTAGTTAATAGATGTGCCCTGGCCTCCTGTCACAACATGAGTAATAGTCTTAGAGGCGTCTCTCCAGGTGATGTGTGCACGTCGGCTTTCACTTCCGCAGGTTTCAATTCCAAAAGAGCCGTACCTCCAAAGTCATTTGGTTTACTTCCGCCATCCCTTCTTGCCCTCCCTGTGTGGGAGACTGGGGATCAGCCTTACTTTGACACAAAACATTTCTTGCTCTGTCGGGTTTTGAAGAAACTGTTTAAATCAGTACAATCTTTTTTTTTTTTTTAGGAAAAACGTAAGGCTGAGGAAGCCCTCAGTGACCTCAGACGTCAGTATGAAACAGAAGTAGGGGATCTACAGGTGACAATAAAGAAACTCAAAAAGGTATGTTTGTGGCAGCGAGGCTTCTAGGAAGAGCCTCGGTGTATGAGTGTGTTTAAGTTATTAGCAACTAAAGACACTGGGAATCATATTAAAGCAGCATTTGGAATCAGATTTCAGAGTCAAACTGGGCTCCCTGGAAAGATGGATTTTTAAAGGTCCCTGATTTTCTTTTCCGTTTCAAGGGCAACCTATCTTCTGCACAGGTCTAATAAATATTTCTGACCCCTTGAACAGTTGTCCATCAAACCCTAGTTTTCCTTCCTCAGGTGCCCTCAATGCCCACATGTTCAGCTCTGCTCATGACAGAGGGATCCTGTCTTTACTGGTCACGTATGCCTGTATCCTTGCCCCCAACTAACTGCAAGGTACATGGTCAGTATTCAGTGAATATTTATTAAATGAAGTAAATGCTCTTCTTCTGTGCAGAAAGTTCCAGATCTAGGGGACCCCTGATCAGCAGGAGGTGGGAGAGAACTTGCTGAAATGTGAGCAAAAGTTTGATTGGGTTTGGCCTTTGCTGTGTTTGGTTTCTAATGAGTAGGGTGTGTTTCACCCAGTGGTATGCTGGTAGCTACTTAACAATGGGCTCTGGAGGGGGAAGGGGGTCAGGGAGGAATCTGTAATATTTGCTGATTTCCACGGTGTTGATGCTCCCACCATTAACAATTTCAAGCTACCAAGTTGACATGACTGAGTGCAGAGTTTGGGAAGAGGTGCATCACATTGGCTCTCCCCGGCCGGCACAGGCTGTCTGCTGCATGGTACTGGATCCACCTCTTGCGTGTGGATCGTCTCTATAACGAGTGGAAATACCTTGGCTAAACTGAAAATAGATACTTAAAAAAGAATCATCCTTGAAAGTGGCATTGTGACTTTGGGCACATCACTTTGCTTCTCTGGTTGTTCATGTGATAACCTTTAATGCTGTTTCCAATGTTTATATTCAATGAGATTAAGGGACGATTAGCTGTATTTTGTAGGCTATTGCAATTCAAACCTCTGGGATTATTAAAAATCTCCCCAGTAACCTTCTTGGGAAATTATGATCACTGTCAACCTTTTCTCTAATTGACAGAGGCCATTAGACGAGACATAAGATACTTGAATTGCAGAATTTGAACAGACTAGTCCCTTGTTGATGCCAGAGTCACAGATTGTCCTAGCCCCGGTTCTCAGTTATTTTCCTGTCTTCCCACATCTTTAGGCTAGAAGCAAGTTATGCAGAAAAGATGCAAAATTTCTTGCTATGGTGAGGCATATGATGACGACCACATAGGCCCTGAACAGTGAGAGTCAGAAGTGATGGGACCGGAGTTCTCATCGAAACGATGCTACTTTCTTCCCGCTGTACCTGGGACAATTGGCTTCATTATCTTATCATTTCGTTTCTCATTTGTAAAATGGGGTTAATAATTGACTGTCCTGCTTAACCGTAATAGCTGAGATGTTACTGATTTTATAGTTTCTTCAGCTCTTTTTCATAATTTTTAAATTTAATTCTCAAACTTTTTCTGAGGATAGGTTAAGTCTCCTGCTTTCACAGCTGAGGACACTGAGTTCTCGAGTCACAGAGCTCATAAGCCGTGGAGTTGTCTTGCTACCCAGTTTGCACTTTCTCACTCGTACCAGACTTCCCGCCGGCTCGGGAGGCTTGTTCTGCAAGAGAACAGATGGTGATTTACGTGAGGGAATGTTAAAGGCTTAAACTGGAAAAGTTTACAAATTGCTACGACTGCCATTACCCTATGCCATGGATTCTGAGGAACTAGTTTTTTCCCTCTAGTTTTTTTTTTTTCTCTGAAATTAGCATGCATCTGAAAAAATCAAGGGCTCTTCTCAGTTAGAGTCAGCCACGTGGCAGTCATGGCCTCAGTGTGTGAAAACCTTTAGTTGATGCATCTGGTAAGATGAAGAAAATCCAGCATCAGATTACTTAGGCTTTGACTTAGAATTGATGAAATACAGCATTCATTTTGGTCAATGCATAACTACTCAGTTAATGGAAACCTACGGATTCTCACCGTTCCCAGGGACTGTCAGGAAACAAAAAGACATTTTTGTTGCCCATGTTAGAGATCTCCTGAGGTGGTTTAAAGTCTGGTAATACTAACAAGTCAACCAGAAAGCAAAGCTCTGGTATGTATTCATAGAGAATTGTGTGTGTATGTCACTAGCTTCCTATCACACTTAAATGTTATTGATTTCAGTTATTTTAATAAGCATTTACTGGAATCACTGTGAAGAGAACAGGTGAATCTGACACTAACTCTGCTGTTAAAAATCTTAGACTCTGGTAGGAGAGATAAGGCATTCATAAATAATTATAATACAGGATAGAAAGTGTTAAGCGCAGATAAATTTCTAGGAGAAGATAAAGGTCCAGACTCATAGGCAACATAACTGAAAGGGCAAAATTAAATCACTTAATAGTTGAATGGTTTCCCAAAAGGACTTTTCAGTTGTTTCGAAAGAAATTCATTAAGCGATAAAACCCCCTTTTTAAATGCTTAAATTATTGAAAGCAAATTTTCAAATCCTCATGGATTATATGTAGCTTAATGATTTACAAAGTTGTAAAATGTTGAAAATTGAAGACTTTTAGAATTCCCATATCTGTATATTCAAAGATACTCATAAACTTAATCAATCCAAAGTGAGTTTGTAAATGCACAGCCTTTATTTGCTCTTTCAGCTAGAAGAACAGTCGAAACACGTAAGTCAGAAAGAAGATGTGGCTGCATTAAAAAAGCAAATTTATGATTTATCAATGGTAAGAATCACCTTTCATTTACAGAAACACATTTCCTCTTCAATGACTAGACATAATCATGCTGTTTATCAGTGTTCCGGGGATGGAGAGAAATTAGTACTGCAGTTAGAGAAAGCCTTTGACATACCTTTGACCAAAGGTGTTATTCAGGCTTTTACCCTCAAGGATACCCCACCTATTGTGAATGCTTTTATTTATTTCTTACTCAAAGCAATGACGGCATGGCCCTTGCACTTCACATAGTTAACCCTGCATTCCTGCAACTTCAGCTCTGGTCTGTGTCCCTGGCTTTGTGAGATGAGGTTATAATTGCCCTTTTCTTCCTCCAGCGTTCCTCTTTCTGCCCATTTCCCACCTTGATGACCCTATCTTTGGTCTTTCTGTTGCCAGGTTGTCAGCATTTGCATCTATTTTTTCATCATCATTAAGTTGTCTTTATTTTGTTTGTAGGAGGACTCTAGAAGTTGAAAGCCACTAGTGAACATTTCCTTTATTAGGACTCTAAATATTCTCATTGCAGAGCCCAGAAGTGAGCCAGCTGTGCTATAAGTGTGTTTCTTTCTGTCCGGTCATTATCCCCGCACCACTCAGAAGAGAAGGCGCCCAGCTTCATGGTCAAGTTGGCGTTCCAAATTCTGCCACTTCTTAGTTGGCTCTGTATTTGGATCATGACTTTCTTGTAGAATTGCTTATTTTTCTTGCATTTCCTGGTTGAGTTTTTGGTTTCTTATAAAAAGAAACTCTGGCATCCTCAGGATATCATCCACTGATGCCTTCCAACTTTTTTTTTCTTTTAAATTCTTCCCAATGCGTGGAATTTGTTTTTTCTCCTTGAAAATGTTAATTCTGGAGTCTACAAAATTTCAGTTCTTACTGGACTGATAGTTTTTTAAACTCACTACCCATATGTCATCCTGGAATTTCTGAGCATTTTACGTAGCTGGTGTAGGATTCCTGTGCAGCTAGGTAAATAGATCTGTTTACCTCGGGGCCTCCTCCCTGAGAGAGTGTCTTCCTAGGAGCTGTGTGTGTGAAGCTGGCTGTCAGGCTGGGGGACCCCTGATGACCAGAAGGAGTGGGATATGGATATTCAGAGAGAAGCCTCAGCGCACCGTATAGGGGTCATTCGGTTCTTTTCTATTTTTTTTTTAAAGATTTTATTTATTTGTTTGAAAGAGAGAGAGCAAGTGAGGGCAGAGGGAGAGGCAGAGAATCTGAAACAGACTCCATGCTGAGCACAGAGCCTGAGTGGGGCTCTGTCTCATGACCCTGAGATCAGAACTTGAGCCAAAACCAGGAGTTGGATGCTTAACTGACAGCGCCACCCAGGCAACCAGTTCAGTTCTCTTTAAAAAGACAAGCCCTGTCTTACAGCCTTGGGAATCGACTCTATCTGCTATTCTTTGCTAGTATTAGAGGGGATGGCCTGGGGCTGGGGGCCGTGTTCCTTAATACACAAATTTAACCTCTGTTTTTAAGCCCCATTTCTGACTGTTCGGGGGTTCTGCCTGGCTAATTGCCTCCTTTGCTCTATAGCACAGTCTTCCCCCATGCCTCTTCCAGACCTCCTGTGCTCCTGCTCTCTTCTCTTTTGTCAGCACATTTCCACCCAGTTTCCATCTTCCAGAAATGTATTTAATTCATTTGACTGTTGGGGGGCCCCTCTTGCATTCTTGTAACTTGTATTGGTTTATTTCATGTTATTTGGCATTTCATGTGAATGGGGTCTCCAAAGGGAAAGAAGAGTGCTCAGTCCATCATTTTGCACCAGAAGCCTCCAATGATTTTTTGTTTTCTGTTTTTAGAAAAACATAGACATTTTTAAAACTACACTAGTTTATTTTAAGCACAAAACTTACAGATGTTAGGTGATAGGATTTATTGTAAAAACTAGCCGGTCTGCCTGGTGATAGGTACTATTAATTCCACAGAATATTTTCAGTAGATTCATAGCTCTCATTGAGTAAAACAGATGTTTACATATTTGATCTGAGTTAATTTGCCAGTAACATGTTAAAATATGTCATGATCATGTCTTGACTGGTGTTTTTTGGCACCAAATGTCAAACATTAAAAAAGAGAACAACTTCAAGGATTTAGCTTTTTGCAACTTTAATACTTTATGATAATTTCAAATCACCTTGAATTGGTAACTAGTTCTTTGAACACCAAGATTTGAAGAACTATGGAGATACAGGTTTGGGGTGCGAGGTTCCGCTACACTTGACTCTCCTGGGTGGAAGATGCCCCAAATCTAATGGCCTGTGCTGTTCCTTTTCTCCAGGAAAATCAGAAAGTTAAGAAAGATCTTTTAGAAGCACAGACAAACATAGCCTTTCTTCAGAGTGAATTAGATGCTTTGAAAAGTGATTATGCCGATCAGACTCTGAATTCAGAAAGGTATGAAACTTTGCATTTCAGAAAGGTATGAAACTTTGGAATGTTTATTTAGATGACCATCCGTGTGAATGAAGTCAGCTATGTAATCATAAAGGTTATTTATTGACCTTGCTGGTATGTTCTTTGCTTTCCAAAGATACCACTTTCAGTGTCCTATTTCCTGATGATTTTTGTGTTTTAAATTTTTTTTAAGAAAAATACTAATTAGTTTAATTATTGACTGCTTTGGAGAGTGCAGGGCTTAATAGATGTTTGAATTACTAGGAACAGAAGAATATACCTAAAGTGTCGGGAATCAGTGCTAATTGAAGTGCACACACACAGGCATGCATTTATGTACATATGCAAATACCTATATAAATATTTGAATATATATAGATATTTATAAAGGTATTTACATTCACATATTTGCATGTAAATGCATATATGGATATATATGCCTACAAAATACATACATACGTGTGTGTGTGCGTGCGTGTGTGTATAAACATGTACACTTGGGAAAAATATGCTTTTTGTTTTGTTTGCTTGCAAACTTTAATCACAATTAAGGTCCTGTAATGGTCAGCAGTGAAACATTTAAGTACTTACTGTATACAGGTTCCTGAGCTACAGAAGGAGTTATGAGTGTGAAATAAATATATATATATAAGCAAAGATGTG